GGGACCACAGGCACCCGCCACAACACCTGGTTATTTTTTGGTTGCAGCTGTCATTGTTGTTTAGCAGGCCTGGGCTGGATTTGAACCTGCCACCTTAGGTGTATGTGGCTGGCGCCTTAGCCACTTGAGCCACAGATGCCATACCCCAGTGTCTTATTCTTAATCAGTCCCACCCTCTGTGTTCCTGGGTTGTCAAAGTGACCTCTGATTAGGGTGACCAGACGTCCTGATTTTGGCGGGACAGTCCTGCTTTTCAATAATTTGTCCTGCGTCCCTCGGCATTTTAAAAAAGTCCTGATTTTTGGAAAGAATGCACAAACAGGCTGGAGAACAAGAAGGGAATATACAGTTTTTGGCTGCCATATGGCTATTTCGCCAGAATATGAGTTTTATATTATTTTTGTTAATTTTATAATGTTAAACTGTAATAAATAATTGCTGAGAAGTGATTATCGAGAACTACTTATCAAAGTTTGCCTTGTTGTCAGGCCCTGCCTGCCCCAACCCCTGCGCGTCCCCGCTCCGCTCCCGCTCTGCCCCCCAGCCAAGTTGTCCTGCCTTACAGATGTTAAAATCTGGTCACCCTACCTCTCTGATCAACCTAGGAAGCCTTCCAGCCAAACAAAAAGGAGTGTCCCTCCAATGCTTGAGGAAGAATCCCTGAGAAGAGTTATGTCCCCATTTCCTGTGCCTGTCTGGATTTAGCCACAATTACCAGTGTAGTGCTTTGTACCCATGGGCTCTCCTGTGTTTATTACTTGCAGGCAGCAGAGTGAGAAATCAGGTATCTGGGAGCCTGGTTCCACCTGATGCAAGTTGTCTCTTTCTGTTCCTGGCAAGGAGTATATGCCTGTCAATCAAAGTGGGGATGAGCCCCACCCTGGAGAAACCACTAGGCGGTGCTCACACTGTGGAATCCTTTATAATTTTTACAAGCTGTTTCTAAATCACAGTAACAAAGGAAGTAGGCTTTTTATCCTGGGCAGTTCTTAAATACTATGTTTTCCACCCTCTTTTCTTCCCCAAAAGTTAGCAAGGCAACAATATTCAAACTCTGTAAAAACCAGAGTTGAGAGACACTTTAAAACTTTTGCATTAGAATTAATCACAACTAGTAAAAGTCTTAAAGAAATCTGGAATGACTTTCCATTCACACCAATAGACCAGGAAAAAAAAAACCCACAGTCATTTTTTTGCCTTTCTTCATATTTAAAGGTTTTCCTTCTTTCCCTTTTTCTTTTCTTTTTTTTTTTTTTTTT